GTTATCTTTTTTGATTTTTCTGAATCTCTCCGTATATGGATAGTAAGGGAGTCAGTCCTGGGCGGTGCTCGGCTCGGAAGGGACATTTTACTCTCTTGCTATTCTCTCTTAAAAAATCCTGTTAAACTACACGTCACACCTTGGTGAGACTTGCAGACTTGGAAAATGTAAACGAAGCTGCCATTCTTTACCTCCACAGGACTTTACAGGTGTACACGAAAGACATCTACAGTGATCGATGGGGACCAGCGGAATGCCCCCACATAGCGGAACCGCGCCAGATCTTTGTTAGACTAACTTGGGTTTTGGAATGGTGAAACCAGGGCAGTCTTACTGTATGTCTAGGAAGTAATCGTAGAGTTTGGAGGGAAAGGCGCGAGGGCGGTAGTCAGCCAAAATTTGCTCCGGTTCGACGCCAAAGTTGCACCTGGCGTGAAGATTCCTGGGGCGCCGGAAAACCTTCTCCGCTAGCGTCGGGTCTTTTTGTGCCCAGAAAATGTAAGTTTTATAAATAGGTTTCACTGCCCCTAGCGGCAGGCCTTCTGCGACTTTGGAGGTTTGAATTTGTCTCCGGGGGTCCTCTGGCGCAGGCACTAAGCCTTTTCACGTTGAACCGACAGGATATCCCTGCTGAGGGGGTCGAATCAGTGCCGTAGGTATATAAATGTATTTAGAATCTGATCTTGTCCAAAGGGCAGGTTTTCATACAAAGTTCCGGCCAAACCTCGGAAGAAGGGGTAAAGGATGAAGAGTGCCCAAATTCCAAGTTGTCGGCCAATTCTGGATCAGTCAACCGAAATGAAAATGATAATACCGGTCAACTAACAGAGATCAATCAATAATTGATCGTTTTCAAATTTTTTAATGTTTTTCAATTTTGAGTGGCTAATATGGTTAGCGAGATGATTGCGAGAATTCACATTCACACCACTCAATCAAGCCGCGAAAGAATGCCCAGCCCGCCTCGAAGCACAGCTGAGGATCTGAGGTAAGATTTTGGGCATTGAAGTAGTTGGGGAGGGGATGCAACAAGACTAAGCCGCGCCCCATAGTTGGCTGACGGTTTTCAAACAAGGCATACCATCACTTTGTGGGAGTTTTGTTGCGAATACGACC